CAAGATCGCCCCCCCCCCCCCCAGGGCCCTCCTGGGGTCCATCCTGCCTGTCTTCTCGAGGCGGACCCAGCCGCGACGACGAGAAACCTCCAGCAGGCCCAGGCAGGGACGGACAACGCCTGGGAGGGCCGCCGTTCCGTTGACGCGTCATGCCTCCCTTCGAGTGCGGCTCCCTGCGAGGTTTGCCGAGCGGGCAGAGGAGCTTTTCCGTGTGCAGGCCCGGGTGAAGCGCGAGGGCCGGAAGTGCGCGGACATGTACATCCAGACGCTCAACGTCACCGGCAGCTGGGCGGAGATGAGGCATCAGGCTTGAGTGGGGGGGCAGAATGCCGTCGTCGTCGTCGTCGTCGTCGTCGTCGTCGTCGTCGTCGTCGGCATGATCTTGCCGGTTCAGTGCTCTCTGGGCCTCCAGGGAGGCCCTCGTGTCTACACCCTGGCGCGGCTCGAGGAGCTGGCCAGGACGGTGCCCTCTGGACGGGTCCGGGGGCCGATCTTGGGCGACGGTGGATGCCCTGACGCAGGCTTCCGTGCCGCCTTGAACAACAGGCGGTCCGCGACGAGCAAAAGAAAGTCAGGGGGATGAGGTCGACAGCTCTGGAGCCCACGTGCTGAGCAGATCACGACACGGGCAAACTGGGTCTCCCTTGGGGCGCGGCTTGGCCCCCGCGCGTTGTTTCCGCAGCTTGTGTGGCTCAGATTGCCCCGCGAGCCAGGCCACTCTCTGGCTGCCTCCCCTCCCTCGCATCCTTTCTGCCCCCTCTGCGTTCGCGCTCTGGTGGCACGAGCTCCTTCGCGCAGAGGCGCTTTCGCACAGAAGAGGGGAGGAGGAGCAGGAGCAGGAGCAGGAGGAGGAGGAGGAGGCGTAGGAGGAAGAGGAGGAGGAGGAGGAGGAGGAGGAGGAGGAGGAGGAGGAGGAGGAGGAAGACCCCCGGGCCTGTCCCGGGGCGCGCCCTGGCCAGAATGTTGGGGCGGACTCAGCCGTGGCCACGAGGAAGCCGTGGAGGCCCAGGAAAGCCCAAACGACATCCAAGTCCTCGACCCTCGAACGGACAGCGCGGCGGCGACGACGGCGCGACGACGTCGCGACGACGACGACGACGACGACAGCAGTGGCGACGACGCGGCAAGGGCGGCCTACACTACAGCGCGGGGGACACGGTCGACCGCGCAAAGCCGACCAGCTGGATGAGCTTCGGGAACGCCTTCGGCCACCTGGACTTGAAGGTCGCCCGCCCTCAGACTCTCAGATATAGGCGTCGCAAAAGAACACGGACGAGACGGTCATGTTCAGCTATACAGTCAACCCGCACCATCAGGATGGACATCCTTCCCAACGGTACCCTTGCATCCTTGCTTCCTCGCTCCATCCTTGGCTACTTTCGTTGGCCGCGCCCCGCTCGAAATGTGCGTCCAAGGCCCTTGCATCTTCATCGCGCATCCTTATGACACGGGCCGACTTTCATGTTTATATGGAGTTCGGGCTCACGGGACCGCTTCCTGGCCCCGCAGGCCGTCAACCAGACGACACAGGAAAAACATCGTGTCCCGCGTGTCGGGGGTCGACGCCCTCGGGGCCCACGCCCCGAGGCGTTGCAGGGGAGAGTCCCCCGAGCCGCCCCGAGAGGAAGGAGGGGGGGCTAGCGCCTACTTGATCATGTGTTCCCTCAGCCGTCGTTGAAGCCTTTCGGGGAACACGTGAGGAAGAGGAGACTAGGGAGGAGGAGGAGGAGGGGAAGAGGAGGGAAGAGGAAGAGGAGGAGGAGGATGAGAAGAAGGCGGACGCTTCTTGGAAGCCTTTCGGGACACACTTGCGGTCTCCTGCGTGGCTTCATCCTGATCATCTTCCGAGCCGCCCTCCCGCAGTCTGTAGGCAGGGACACCCTGCAGTGGTGACACTGCCCCCCCCGCGCCTCCCTGCGGGCGGTTCCCATTTGCGGCCCCATATGCCGTCAAGATTTCGTGGTCTGGCCTTTATATTTCTGAATAGAGGTGTGCGGCCTTTCCCAGTCGTTTTCGTAGAAGTAATTGTAATAGTCGTAGTCGTAGTCGTAGTGTTCGGAGTAGTCGTAGTAATAGTAGCCGTAGTAGAAGAAGAAGAAGCAGTAGTGGTAGTTGTAGTCGCAGCAGTCGTAGTAGTAGTAGTAGTAGTAGTAGTAGTAGTAGTAGTAGTAGTAGTAGTAGTAGTAGTAGTAGTAGTCGTAGTAGTAGTAGTAGTAGTAGTAGTAGTAGTAGTAGTAGTAGTAGTAGTAGTAGTAGTAGTAGTAGTAGTAGTGGTAGTCGTAGTAGTAGTCGTAGTAGTGAGTCAGTAGTAGTTAGTAGTATTAGTTAGTAGTTGCTGCAGTTCCAGTAGTAGAGTAGTAGTAGTCGTAGTGGTAGTAGTAGTAGTTGAATAGTATTAGTGGTAGTTGTATGAGAGTAGTAGTTAGTAGTAGTAGTAGTAATCGTAGTAGTAGTGGTAGTGGTAGTAGTGGTAGTAGGTCGTTAGTAGCTTAGTAGTAGT